GTCCCGAGTTCAACACCTGGTAACTAACTAATTAACTAACTAAATAAATAAATAAAATGTAAGCCTTTATTTAAAAAAAGGTAGGAAAAGAAACAGGCTCTGCATTTAGGTCAAGTAAAAGTGGGAAAAGCAGCATACCCTACAGCGTGAGGGCAGGCCTCTGTGCAAGGATGAACACAGTGCTAGTGCAGGCATTGTTACAGCTGTAGCAGCTGTTAAAACATCAAACTATTTATATGGCCACTTGTAAACAGTCCCCTCTCCAGCCCTCTGAGCGGCCCATACGCTTTGGCTTCAGGCCCATACTCCAGCAGCTTCAGAGTTGATGCCTAGCAGGGTTGAGTGTTGTCTAGGACCTGGCTGCAGGGCCGTGGCCCACTGACTGGGCTTTTCCTTGCCTTAACACATGTTAAATATTACTGCCACCTGGTAAGGTGTGTCTGACTTGGGTCACAGCCAATAAAGTTTGAAAAGTGCTGATGCACAGGAAAGAGTTCTAGGTGCAGGTGCAGGACAGACACCTGGATTCTGACCAGGGCAGGGCCTCCGTTAGCATTTATCTGTTGTGGGACTTTGCCCAACTATGCAGTGTCTCAAGCCCCTGGATTCTTCATATTAAAAATAGGAACGTTCATTTTTACCTGCTTACTTTCTAGCTGTATCATGGGAGAGATTCTCTAGAGCACGACACCAAGGAGGCAGCAGGGTATGTGGGATGGATATGGATTTGACAGCCTGAATGGCCAGAATTAAAATCTAGACTGTCCCTACTAGTTGTGTGAATTTGGGCAAATTGCTTGCCCTTTCCAAGCCCATGCCTTTGGTTGTAAAATGGTGCTAATTCCAATCTTATAAGATTGCTGCAAGGATTAAATGAGATAATAGGTGCAAGGCATCTAGTGAGTGCTCTGCAAATTGTGTTTGTTTGTTTGTTGGCTTTTTTGTTTTGTTTTATTTTTTTTCTGGTACCAGGGATCGAATTTGGGTCCTTACGCTTGTGAGGCAGGTGCCAGAACCACTGAGCTAAATCCCCAGCCCTGTTTGTTTTTTTGAGACGGGGTCTCAGTATGTATTCCAAGCTGGCCTTGAACTCACTCACAGCAATCCTCCTGCTTCAGCCTCCCAAGTGCTGTGGGGTTACAGGTGTGTGCCACCATACCTAGCAAGCTATGTACAGTTATTAACAGAGAGGAATAAGCATGTGGCCAAGTATATAATTGGAAATCAACAAATATTTGCAGAAATGAAAGGGAGACATTGTTGAAGGACCCTGAATTTAGATCTGAGCTGTTCATCAGGGTAGCCACTAACTACTTAATTAAAATGAAACAGAATGGACAAGTCTTTTCATTTGCATTAGCCACATTTCAGTGTGGTTAGTGGCTGCCGTGGTGGCCAAGACAAATAAACATTCCCCCATCACAGAAGGTTCTGCTGGGCAGCCCTGCAGAGGACAGGGTGAAAATGTCAGTCTCTGCAAGGAGCATTAAGGGTGACGGTTTCCATGGTAAAGAGGCTTCCCTGGAAACGAGTGCCTCCTTCTAGCAACATGGTGCTCCCTGCCGCTTAGGCCTTGGTCACTCAGTCCTAGTTGGGCAGCTGCTTGTGTCAATGGTTAGAAAAATGAAACAGTTAAATGTATGAACTGTGGGAATAGATTGCCTGAGTCCAGATCCTACCTTTTCTACTCTCTGAGCAAGCCACTCGATTGCCTGTGCATATTTTAGTCACCTAATGGTGTGATAACAGTACCTGTGCCATGAGATTGTTATGAAGAATGAGTTATTACTGTGTCAGGAATAGGGCATATTGTGGGGTGTTTTACTACTATGATGTGTTGGTTTTGTTTTTTTGTTCTTTGGTACTGGGGATTGAATTTGGGACCTTAAGCTTGCAAGGTAGGCAGCGGCACCACTGAGCAAAAAAATCCCCAGCCCAGGGTGTTGGTTTTGTATTGTGTTGTCTTTCCACAATGTTATAAGATAGATTATTTTTATTACCTACATTTTGCAAAAAGGAAAATAGGCTTAGATAAATTACTAACTTGCACAAAGCCACAGCTTATGGGTGGCAAGGAAGGCATTCAGACACCATAGCATGCTGCCTGACGCATGGGGGGCAGAAAGGAAGAACCTTTGCAAGAATGAGGGGTGTCAGAAGAGGCAGCACAGATGAGATGAGAAGCTCCCCACCTCCTTGGATCTTCCTGTTCCTCTCCTCCCCTGTACTTTTCAGGGACCCTAGTTTCCAAGAGAAGTACCGAGTGGGGCTCAACCGAATTGCCGCTTCGGAAGTACCCATCGAGATCAAGCTGATAAAGCCACCTGCCCTGAGCCAGTTTCGGAAAATGGAGCCCAAACAGATGTTCTGGGTGCGGGCCCGGGGCTATATCGGTAAGAGGACCCAGGGAATGGAGAAAACATTCCCTAAGGGTCTGGTCCTGCCACTCATTTGCCTGTGTGGCTGTGCCTGTTCCTTATCTGCAGGAGGAGGAAGCTGGAGGATTCTCACCAGGGCCCTCTTGCTCCTTTGTGTGGGGACAGTAGGGAGGTGATTTAATCCCAACACAGGACCTTTCTGGGGGAAGGGAAGGCACTTTGCTGAGGTTCTCATCCAGGCCTGCAGCTACCTACTCTGAGCCTGTAGCCTCAGGTACAGGAAGAAGATACCTCTTCCGGGACTGGGGGGCAGGATGGGGAAACTTGGGAAGGCCCCTGCTTCTCCCCATCTCTATCTCCCTTATCCTTTCACCCATAATAGCTTGGGCGAGACGATGCTTGGTATATCTGTGCATGGCAGTCTCTTTCACCCCAAGATGCCTGCAGTCCTGAACTGTGCAACCCAGGAGCCCAGGGCTGATGGGGCTGGGATCTTTTGCAGGGGAGGATGACATCAAGATGCACTGCTGTGTGGCTGCCTATATCTCTGACTATGCCTTCCTGGGCACGGCGCTGCTGCCCCACCAGTGGAAGTATAAGGCGCGCTTCGTAGCCTCCCTGGACCACTCCATGTGGTTCCACGCCCCCTTCCGAGCTGACCACTGGATGCTCTATGAGTGCGAGAGCCCCTGGGCTGGTGAGTGTGGGGCTCTGTGGGACAAGGGCACTGACCTCGGGGTGGCAGGGAGACTACTTTCCTGGGTGATGCTGCCACCTTCCTACTTCCTGGGCAGCACTGCACAGGTCACTTCCTCTCTTGCCTCTATAGGCTTTGGCATTTTCATCTTCAAAATGACAGGATACTTGTTCAGCTTACTTTTACAACCTGGCGGAATAGGATTATCTTAGAGACCCAGTGCAGGCCCCAGACCACTTCTGGTTTTTTTATGTGATCTTGAGCAAATCCTGTCTTTCTTATAAGCCTTTCTCATTTAAACACATAGCATTTTACAGTATTAGAGCAGCAGAGCCTAAATCTGGTAACCTAGCAGACTGCCACTTGAGGGAGCTTTTTCAAACAGGTTGTTTTCACCTCTAAGATTCTGCTTGGCAGGTCTTGGGTAAGGTCTGGAAAACTCTTTGAGAAGCTTGCCAAGTGCTGATCTCCATGGTTAGGGGTCAGGACACTCAGTGATCTCTAAGGACTTTACTACTTAAGACACTCCTTGTAGGGGACGGAGAGAAACCCAAGTTCATTCATGAATGTGTAGCTTCAGATCCCTGGGTTCCTTTCCAAAGGACATTTCAAATGAACAAAAGCTTTGCTTTATAAAACAGGGACAAAACCTAGAAGACTGAGGCAAATGAGCTCAGTGGTTCCGCTGCCTACCTCACAAGCGCAAGGTCCTGAGTTTGAGCCCCACTACCAAAAACAAAAGAACCCAAAAACCCCTAGAAGACTTTATATTTGGGAAAGGGGTATTCTCAAATGCACATAGCATCATAATACAAGATTAACAACCCTGAAAGTTTAGGCAGATCCTTGGAGCCAGTTTCCTGAGCTTTAGACTGGTGTCATTGTTTGGAAAACAAGACAAGTGAAGCTAAATACCTCGGGTATTGTGAAGATGTGTGTACAGGGAAATGAGCATCTCATCATGAACATCAAACTCAGGCCTAAAGCCAGCAAAGGAAAGAGCCTCCAGGAGGGGATACAGTGGAGGCCAGAGCCCTGATGGTCTCAAGTCCTCTCCCCGAGCTTCTCCTTCCCCTCTGTGGTAGAAATGATACAGTTTTTCAAGAATTTTCCAGCCTAGAGGACTTGGTTTATGTAAAAGAGATTTCCTAACGTATGTGGCCAGAGCTGCAGCAGTCTGCTTGGCCAGGATATTAGACTGTTCTTTTTTGGTTTTTTGAGACAGGGTCTCACTGTGTAGTTGAGACTGACTTGGAACTCACTATGTAGCCCAGGCTGGTCTCGAACTCACAGCGATACTCCTGCCTCAGCCTCCCGAGTGCTGGGATTACAGGTGTGAACCACCACACCCGGTTTAGACTGTTCTTGAGAGTCCCTCCCTGTCATCTTTTTGAGGAAGTGAACAAGTGTGTGAAAGTGCTTTTAAACTGTCAAGTGGGGTTACCATGGGAGGAGTCAACCCAAGGGCACTTGGAACCTTAGGGCAACCACAACATTCAGTGTGTCCTCATGTGTGGCAGCCCTGCCCTGGGTGTGGCTGTGCTGAAGCCGAGAAGGGCTAGTCTCACCCTTCTCTTCACCCACAGGTGGCTGTCGGGGGCTGGTCCATGGGCGACTGTGGCGTCAGGACGGGGTTCTGGCTGTATCCTGTGCCCAGGAGGGTGTAATCCGAGTAAAGCCCCAGGTCTCAGAGAGCAAGCTGTAGCCAGAGGTACCAGCTTGGCCTGAGGCTTCAAGGATCTCCCTTCTACACCATTCCAGAGGTGGGAATTACAGTCAAGGGCTGGGCCTTTGGCCTTCACATCCAATAAAGAGACTAGTACCACTGGAGTGGGTGGCCTTTAATTCCCCTGGGCCAGAACCACAGCCCTCCCTCCATCCCTCAACTCCCAAGACTAGTCACAGTCCCTGGCCCTTCAGCCGTACTGCCTCACCGGCTTGGAGACCCATGGAAAAGGGAGCATAGCTCCTGGCCAGGGCTGCAGCCCCTGGCTGTGTAAAAGCTGGAGAGGCAGTGTCAGATTTCCTCTCTGTCCAGGCCTGGGCAAGCCCAGCCAAAGCTCTTCCTGAGCCCAGCTCAATGGAAAGAAATTCTGCAAATTTTCTTTGTGGAACATCTAGGGGGCTCCCAGCACCCCCTGCAGCCTCCTAGCTGCTCTTTGTATCTTCATCACCCCCTTCCCATTTTTAGGAAGTCTCTCTCTCCATGGTGGCCTTGAGACTAAGCAATAGTCAGTCTAGCACCTCCTTGATGAGCAATTCTTTGAGACTGGGGGGTGGCGTGGGTGCAAGACCTGCCTCCTGCAGGGCCTGGAGCTGGGCCTCTGACTGCCGTTTGTCTAGGCCCAGGCGCCAAGAAAGCCGGACATGAGCCTCTAGAAAGGGTGCCAAGAATGGATGGGGACTCTTGTCTCTCAGCAGCTGCAGGGCCTTTTCACAGCACTCCCGGGCCTCCCCAGGGTCCTCTAGCTCCTGGTAGCACACAGCCAGTCCAGCCAAAGTCAGGAGGGGGCGGTCGTGGCCAGAGGAGGTCCCCAACTGGCCCTGCAACTGCCAGGCATTGGCCCACAGTGCCAGAGCCTCACGATAGAGGCCAGTACAGGTGAGGCTCTGTGCGCGCCGCAGCTCTGGTAGCACGAAGAAGTCGTGCAGGTCTGGGGCATGGCTTAGTTCAGGCACTGACTGCAGGTGGCCCAAAAACTGCTCAAAGGCTCTGCTACGGCGGGCAATAGTCTCTGCAGTAAAATTCCGGCGTAGGCGCTTACGGGGGAAAGAGATGGCAGCCATGGGGCCCCGGAACTGCCGTTGCAGGTTTCGGTGCAGTCGCTCGAAGTCTGAGTATCGGCGAGAGATCTGGGCTGGCTGGCGATCTGGTGGCCCCGGGCCCATCACGGCGAGGGTGTAGAGCTGCAGGGAAGGTGGGTGTCAGCGAAATGCAAGTTGTACCTGGATCCCTGCCTCTTTCCCTCCATGCTTTCCTTGCTGGGGACTGGGCCCAGAAGGGTAGGAGCTGCTGGGGCAGTGGCTAGGGAGCCCATTCCCATCTTACCTGAGGCGTCTCTGAAATAACCCAGGCCCAGTGCAGCACAGGAAAGAAAGACAGAAAAGATTCAGTGCCTGAGACTGCTGTCTCTCTTGCCCCTTCTGATAAGCTGTGCCTTCCCACAGAGCAGTTAGTTCTTCTGAAGGCCCTTCTGGAAAACCAGGGGTAAGCTGAAACCCACACCAATCTCTGGGGCCTCTGAGCTAACCTGAGAGCTAGCCTGGAGCCAGTCCATTCTAGACACACAGCCATACCACAAGCTGGCTCAGCCAGTCCAAACCAGACCGGAAGGCAGGTCTTCAGAGAGCCCCAGCAACTTGAGGACCAAGGATGTAGCTCAGTAGCACTGTGCCTGCCTTGCAAGAACAAGGTCCTGAGTTTGATTCCCCAGTACCACAAACAAGAAAATAAAAAGTCAATTTGAGTTCATTGTCCAGGATTGTTTGACTCCAGGTCAGCTTCTCCATCTTTGTGACCTTAAGCAAAGCAGTCTACTCTGTTAGCAAGTGTTGGTACCTGAAGGTTTTGTTTTGTTTTGTTATTTTGAGACAGGATCCCACTATGTAGTTCAGGCTGGCCTTGAACTCATGGCATTCCTCCTGCTCAGCCTCCCACATGCTGTAATTATAGGTTCATGCCACCATGCCTGGCCTCTGGCTTCTTTTTCATTTATTTTTATGTATTTATTTATTTTTGGTTTTTTTGAGACAGGATCTCACTATGTAGTTGAGACTGACCTGGAACTCACTGTGCAGCCCAGGCTGGTCTCGAACTCACAGCGATCCTCCTGCCTCAGCCTCCCGAGTGCTGGGATTACAGGCGTACCCCACCACGCCGGGCTCTGGCTTTTCTAATCTGACTATAAATTGAAATTTTCAGTTTGGTTTTATTTTGTACCAGGGATTAAACCCCACACCTTGCACTTGTGAGGCACAGTTTGGTTTTAAAAAACACTTCTCTTCACACTTCTCATCTCCACGTTTAGAAAAGGGCCAGAGAGCGAATCGCAGGTCAGTCAATGCCTTCTTGAGGCCACAGCATCTAGGCGGGACTGAATGACACTGTTTCATTTTCACTGCTTTTATTTTTACGGTCAGCTTCTCTTTATGGCCAGTGAGGTTTTCCACGTACAGTGGCGCTGTACGGTTGGCAGGCATGTATGTACGTACGTACATATGTATTTGAGACAGAGTCCCCATGTAGTTCAGGGTGCCTTGAACCCGCTATTAGAAGGCCAGGCTGGCTTCCAATTCATAGGTTCTCCTGTTTCAGTCTCCCAAATGCTGGGATTACAGGTATGCGCCACCACACCTGCTGTAAACTTAAGTAAAAAGAGATCATGAAGAATGTTAAGGGTGGTGCCAGTAGCATTTTAGGTTGGACAATAATTGTGAGAGAGATACTGGAATGACAGGTTTGTGAAACACTGAACAGGATGACCACTAAGCTTCTGTCCAGGCTGGAAAACCTGAATATGGACTAATCCTGCCTGATGAGATTGATGCTGAACCAACAGGTTTAAAAGGGGAGTTGGTGGGTATTACATGTTACAGGGTTACAAACACCAAACCCAGAGTTTTCTCTCTAATTTATTCTAACATTAGAATCCTGGTCAATTAGATTTCCCTATTTCCTTCCTTTTTTTGGGGGGGTTGTGGTACTAGGGATTAAACCTAAGACCTTCACACAGAGCTACATTCCCCAATCCTTTTATTTTTTATTTTGACACGGGGTCTCCTAGGTCATTAAATTGCCCAGAACAGGTCTGAACCTCAGCTTCCCAGAGTGCTGGGATTACAGGCATGTGCCGCCACACTTGGCTAGCTGTGCCTACTTTACCCTTGTCTTGAAGATTCACAGTGTACACTTTATTTTATTTATTTTGTGAGAAAGGGTCTCACTAAGTAGTTCAGGCTGAACTTGAACTCACTATGCAGCCCAGGCTGGCCTCCAACTCATGGCAATCTTCCTGCTTCAGCCTCCCCAGTGCTGGGATTACAGGTGTGCACCAGCACGTTCGGGCAGTGTATATTTTAAAGAAACCTATTTTATTCCCATTCAACTCTGCATTCTTAAAACATATTGATTACACAAACTTTTTGAAGAGGTGAGTTATCAACATTCCCAGTAACCAGTTTTCTGCAGGTCATACTTTAGAAAGCAATGGTCTATAGTAAAGTGTGCATGTTCACTTAGCTTTTATTTATTTTTTGTTCTATTTTGTTTTTGAGACAGGGTCTTGCATATAGTTCAAGCTGGCCTTGAACTTACTATGTAGCCCAGGCTGGCCTTGAACTTGTGGCAGTCCTCCTGCCTCAGCCTCCCGAGTGCTGAGATTACAGGCATGTGCCACTGTATCCAGCTAGCTTTTATTTTCATAGCAGATCATTTCATATATATTATTTCATCTGATCCTTGCAATGTCCCACCAAGATAGGTGATAATGACAGTTTCATCAACTTGAGTACTTCCCCTGTGCCTTTTGCCCTACCCAGCACTTTTCTTGTTATTATTTCATTTAATCATCAGAATAACACTGCAAGGAAGGTGTCCTTATCTGTTTGTCAGCTGAGGAAGCAGGCTGAAAGAGGGGGTAAAGGACTCAAAGACTTGCCCAGAATCGCATAGCTGGTCAATGGCCTGGCTGGGATGCAAACCCAGTTTGATCCGATTCCAAAACTTGTGCTCTTCACCCTCCAGAAAATCACTTGGAGACTCCAGGTCCCCTGTGCAGAGGTGATTTGCTTCTCCAGACAGTCAGGGCACAATAGGCCATCCTATTCTTCCTTGTCATTCCCCTCACATCTAGATACCCAGAGTCACCTCCATTCCCTCCTACCTTGGAGCTGCTCCTTGGTGACTGAACCCTTCACCTATTCTAGAGCTCTGGGACATTTGCCACTCAAGAATGGCTCATTCGGGGCTGGGGACGTAGTTCAGGGGTGAAATGAACGCTTGGCATTCAGAGGGACTGGGGTTCAATCCCCAGCACAAAAACAAAAACAGAAAACCCAAAAAACTTGATCGTGAGAATCAAATTGGAGCAGTTACCCCATGGGTGTGGGCCTTGTTACAGCAACAGAGAAGGGTGAAGCCGGAATGTGGGACAAGGCTCCAGGCGCCCTTCCTGCTGAGTCAGAGGTGGAGGAGGGTAGGGAAGAGGGGGGAATGAGAGGCGAGGACACTTGCAAGTGCAGGCCAGCTCAGCTGGGTTTCAGGCCCAGAAGGGAGCAGGACCTGGTAGATTTCATTTTCCCTGACAGTCTCTTCCCTCCACAGCAAGGAAAACAGGGATTCCAAGACCCTCCCATACGCTTCTTCACCCTTATCCCTACCAAATCCCCTAAGTCTAGCCCTTTAGAGCAGGATTGTTCTGTACAGGCACAGTACCGATTGACCTAGCGTACAAGGAAGCCACAGCAGTCTCTAGACCAGTGATGGCAAATCTTTTAGGGCTTTCAGTGATACAGAGTGCCCACTGCACAACGTTAGGGAAAAGGAAATAAGGGAAAAGAAAAATATGAGAAAAGGAAAAAATGGAAACAAAGTCTTTGTAAATAGAGGAGGGTGGAGGGGGTGAAGGGAGGGCAGGGGAATGGGGAAAAATGAGAACCAAGATCTGTCATGTAAAGGTACAAGATCCCAGTGATGAATGTAACTGTACTGTGTACTTAAAAAGTACCAATAAACTAAAACAAAACAAACAAAACCCAGCCCACTGCAGCATGCATGCTATAGGTTCACCACCCACTGCTCTAGATGTTTGACATTTCCAAATGAAAGTTAAATAAAAATAATACAGGTTGAAGCTGGGCATGGTGGTGCATGCCTGTAATCCCAGCACTCGGGAGGCTGAGGCAGGAGGATCACTATGAGTTCGAGACCAGCCTGGGCTACATAGTGAGTTCCAGGTCAGTCTCAGCTACATAGTGAGACCCTGTCTCAGGGAAAAAAAAAAAAAAAAATACAGGCTGGGTCAGGGATTTAGCTCACTGGTGCAACACCTGCTTGCAAGTGCAAGGTCCTGAGTTCAATCCACGGTACTAGAATATAAACAAACAAATAAGTAATACAGGTTGAATATCCCTTATCTAAAATGTTTAGAACCAGAAATGTTTCAGATTTTGGATTTTGGAATCTGTACGTACATAGTGCAGATAATGAGATATCTTAGGGATGAGACCCAAGTGCCTGATGTACTTTATACATATTGCCTGAAGATAATTTGTGTGTGTGTGTGTGTGTGTGTGTGTGGTGTTGAGGGTTGAACCCAGGGTCTATCTCTAAACTAGTGCATTTTTCTCCCTGGTACTGGGAATTGAACTTAGGACCTTGTGCTTGCCAGGTAGGTACAGTGCCACTGAGGTACACTGCAACTGAGCTATATGCTGACCCTAAACTACTATATTTTGATTCCCACCAATCACATAAGTCCATTTATAGTATCATACCGATATTTATCAAGTTTCAGCTGGGTGTGGTGGCATAGACCTATAATCTCAGCACTCCAGAGGCTGAGGCAGGAGGATCACTGTTGAGTTCGAGGCCAGCCTGGGCTACACAGTGAGTTCAAGGCCAGCCTGAACTACAAAGTGAGACCTTGTCTCAAGAAAAAAAAAAAAAATCAAGTTTCAGATTTTGGAGCATTTCAAATTAGGATGTTGAATCTGTATAGCTAACATTTTGTTTGTGGTGCTAGAGATGGAACCCAAGGACTCACACACAGTAGGCAAGAGCTCTACCACTGAGCTGCATTCCCAGTCCACTCGAGTACCTCATAATTGCAGGCACCATGCTAAGGGTTCTGTGCTCGGTCTCATTTAACTCCTGCTATTGTCCTCTGCCTTATACCCATGGCTCAGCATGGAAACTGAGAGTCACCAAAATTACATAACTCACCCAAGGTCAAACAACTGGTAATAATAAGTGGTATGTGAATCAAGACTAATCTAGATCTACAGCACATTTCTGTAGCTACTAACTAACCCATGCAACTGGGTCTCAAATCTGTCTTTTACAACAGTGTGCAAAAAGCCTGGGAGAAGGGAAAGCACACATACTAGTTTCTCTTAAGTTTAAAAAACAGGATAGGAGTCAGATCCTTAATCTCCATTTTACTCAGTCTCAGACAAACTAAGTCATTTGCCTGAGGAATAACTGAGGTTAAATCCCCTTTTCTGGCCCCAGTTTTCCCATCTATAAAATAAGGCAGCCATGGGGCTGGGGATTTGGCTCAGTGGTTCTGATGCCTGCCTCGGAAGCACAAGGGCCCGAGTTTGTTCCCTGGTACCAAATAAATAAATGAATAAATGGATTTTTTAAAAAAGAACATAAGTAATATATATATATATATAATAAGGCAGCCACTTATAACTGCACAGCCAGAACCTGCAGGAAGTTGGAAGTCATCCTTGTTTTCTTTTAGCCAGCCTTCTAGACTCTCAGCCTCGGGGGGTTCTTGGGACCTCACTCACCACGTACTTGGAGGGTGGGTCCTTGACAACATTGGCACTGGTCACCTCAAAGAGCAGCCGCTGGGGTACCAGGGTGTTTCGGGACTTCTTCCAGAAATCCTGCAGCTGCCGGGCCAGGAGCTGACTGCCCCGCTGCCCATCAGGTGGGGGACTCCGTTCTGCACAAGCACATGGCAGGTCATATCAAGGAACTTAGAGCCAGGGTCAACATAAACCCTGTGCCATGACCTCATTCACGTGAGGTGGACTTTATCCCCATTTTACCGAAATGAGAACTGAGGGCTAGAGACTGGTGCCAAACACAGTGTCTGGCAGACAGTGGGCACTAAATATCTCCACTCCCAAAGCACGCCAGCACATCATTAGCACAGATTTGTGTCCCAGGTCCTGTGAATTTAATACCAGCAAAAACTCTGTGATACAAGTGACTTCTCCCATTTGACACAAGGGAAATCTTGGCTCAGAGGGACGCTGTCACTCTGTTAAGGTCACACAGCCAAGAATCGGCTGGAAGCACTTAAAGAAGTGTCAAGAGTTTCAGCCGGATCAACTCAGGGCACCCAAGATGCTCTCGGAACGCGGAACGCGGCTGGGAAGGAGGCCTAGCCGAACCCCCAGGTTCCCGTCTCGGTTCTCCCGCACTCGCCTGCGTCTTCTCCCGGTGCCCCGTCCCCAGGGGGCAGCGAGTCGGGACCGGCCTCCTCCTCGTCCCCGTCCTCGTCGTCCTCATCGTCCTCCGCGCTGGTGAAGCTGAGGGTGCCGCTGAGACGGGAGGACAGGCCCTCGGCGTCGTCGTCCTCCAGCTCGGAGCTTTCGGGGAACTGCTCGGCCTCGGGGTCAGCCGCCGCCTCCCCCGGGCTATCGCTGGCCAGGGCGTGCCGCAGCCTGTGCAGGAGCCGCG